TATCATTTGAAATTATATAGTGACTAATGTAGATGGAGAACAAAACAAGCAGAAGTGATGCAATTTCTTTATGCTATGTCCTAAGCACATGGATTTACATGATCGGCAAAGAAGAGATAGCGAAGCTTCTGAAAGTGGACAGCGAAATCATTCCCGGTATCAAATCTCAGGGCATGACGGTGAAGGTTAGGAGAGAGACGAGAAACAAGCAATCCATAAGGTAGATTTGACTTAAACTCTTCTTTTCAGGTGAAAGCATGTCTGATGAACTTATATTGGAAAGAGATACAACCACTAAATTCCAGAATCAATTGAGAAGAAGAAGATGATACGACAAAATTTAGGTAGATTTGATTATGAATATGGTAATAAGATTGTTAGTTATCTTAGGGAACTTCACTGAAACTGAATCAACTCTACCATCTTGTTGAATTGATTGGTAGTAAAGAGAGTAGAGATATTTTTAGTTCTACTTTCATATGTGATTAGGCGGGTTTTACATCTAGTGTAAAGTCCTTTTATGCATTTATGAGTTGAGTTGTGTGTGGTGTGGCAATAGGCGTAGTTCTTAAGTTTTTCGTATTCAGGTTGCTTGTGGTAGGTGGAGGGACAAACAAACTCCAAAAGAAATTATTTATATACCGGAGAGAGTGGTGGAAGTTAGTTCACCTGTCCTGGTAACTGCTAGGTTTAGGTAGAGGAAAAAGAAACAATATATGTGTGAAAGATGAACAAGATGTTGCGTACATGAAACTTTTATTTAATACTCTTAAGGTCACATGATTTTTATTAGATCGCTTGGATCATGAACAATTTGAAAATTCAAGGTGATGAGCCTAGTTTTCAAGGAGCTTTGGAGTATGTTTAACAAGTCCTGTAATTTAACACTCAAGATTGGATGTGGTTCATAAAACTTTTGTTTAATGACATGATATGTAATGGAATTATATTGTTCTGTACAATTGGATAACTTATGTATAACTGGATTTATTAGGGACAACAAAGTATTTATGTACGATTAAGTTTATTAAGGAAAACTAAGTTTGTTGTGTTAAAAACATTAAAAACACATGTTAATATAAAAGACACAGTCAGCGTGGATATTATTGGCTCTATTAAACACATGCAACCGTCAAAACTGACGCATGACAATTATATGAATTAAAAATTTTAGATTTTTTCAAATAATTGTCCCTAGTTTTTTGTTGTATATAAAATGTAAACAGTTGTACTTTTTGGAATTTTAACTTTATATTAGTTATACCAATAAAAAGTTAAAGTTATTTAGTTGTACACGTAACATATGGTCATTCTAACATTGCCCCAAAGTTTTCATGTCC